TTGACAATCTCTTTCATTTTGAAAATTTGAAAGAGAATAAAGGGAAGGCCATGATGAGCTTCGACGTGTTTGCTTTCGATGTTGTGTTGTTGGAAGTAACGTGCGGGCGGAGACCCATTGAGTCAAAAGTATTGTTAGAAGAGCAATTCTAGGTGGAGGTTGAGAGAGAGAGAGAGAGAGACCGGAGAGAGACAGAGGTGGAGGGGGAAGTTTGAGAATGGAGAAAGGACAGAGAGACCAAAGGCGGAGGGGGAGGTATGAGAATGGAGAGAGAGTAGAGGCGGACGGTGAAACAGGGGATGAAATTTGAGGAACGGTGGAGGGAAAATTCGACATTTCGTTTACTTCCATTAGCACTTAACGACAATGTCAATTGTCAGAAACAGTAAGGGTACTTTAAGACAATATGTAAACAGTAAGGGTACAGTTAGTCAATTTTGCATATAATAGGGGTAGTTTAAGAGATTTTTTCCTATTTTTGTTGTAAATTCTGAAAATTATATAAAATATTCTGAAAATCCAAACTAGTTATTTAATTTTTGCTATATTTGAAAAGTAACTGAAAATTATTGAAAAAATATTGAAAGACTATTAAAAAGTAATGTTTTCATTAATTAATTCAAAATTACTGAGAAAAATCTGAAAATTACTAAATTTAAATATTGAAGAAAATTACTAAAAATAATTCAGAAAAATCAAAATAATTACTGAATAATTGCTGAAAATTATTGAAGTCTATTGTTTTGTTATATTAGACCACGACCAGCTTAATTTAAAGTAATTTTTTTTGTATACATTAATGAATCTATTATTTTGTTACATTAGTCACATTAATTTTTTGATATGCGTTATAAATTATATAAATTAAATAAAACAATATATTAATGAACTTTATTGTTTTACAAATCCACGAGTCCCGTTAGTGAAGCTTTAAATGAAGAGAATGACCACTGTATGTATAACGTTCTGAGAGGAAACTTGAGTCAATATGCGTCCTATATTGAAAGGATCAGGATCAGCATTCAATGGGTTTCAAATTTTGAAACATAACCTTTTGCTAGCTAAAAAGAACTTAAAACAGGAAAGAGTTTGAAATCATCATTTGCCTTCTCATTTTATTTATTGTTCAAATAATAATCATGAGAAGAAGCCGTCACGTTGAGCATGGTTCTTGAAGTGGTCCTTGGATTAGTCTTCTCCATTTTCTAGGGAATCTATACAACCAATGTTTCTCACTCCATTCGCAAGTGGCTGGAAAGTTATTGAATATTGATGTGGCGAGCAAGGTTTAAAGTACATATCGGAAGTATAAAGTGTATCGAAAAAGACAAATTTAAAAAATGTACTAAGATACAATTTAGACGCGGACGAAAAATTAAGATACACATCTAAACGTATAAAAATACTATAAATATTCTAATAAATCTTAAATATACATCAATAACATTAAATATAGGGCCTAAATGAGTTATATTTACATAAAAATTACATCCTTTAGTGATTTTTATAAAAAAATAAGGGTATTCTCTAATACCCTTATTTAAGACATAAGACTATTCTCTAAGGTTATAACTACAAAATTTAAGCTTAATAATTATTTAATAAAAAAATTTCTATATCTTTTTAAACAATTATTTATTTCTCATTCAAAAAATTATTTTATTTTTATTACAAAAACTAAAAAAGTGTAAGAAAAAATAATTTTATGGATGTGGTAGATCATCCATAGATTTACAACATGGTAAATAGTATGGTTAGGTCACACAAAAAATTAGAAAAAAAATAAATATTACAAAAAATAAAATATAAATATTTTACAACAATTTGAGTTTTATAAAAAATAAATGTTTTTTCATAAATATTTCTATTCAAAAAATTACAAAAAAATAAAAAAAATGAATATTTTAGAAATTTCAATAGACTATGGATTTGGTAGATCCCCATAGATCTATGACATAGTTATTCTTCAAGGGCATATTACACCAAAAATATAAAATTTTATTTTTTTGTTGTTTTTTATTTTTTCTAAATTTTCTTCAAAAAATTAAATAGATCTATTTAAAGCACAAAAAATATAGGATTTTCAACATAATGAGAGTGTATATATAAGCATTAAAAAACACAAAATATATAACATACTATTGAATAAATTGAAAAAAAGTATTTATTTTTTTGCAATCCAAGAATGTGTAGAGATGAGTTAGAAGCTTTTTTTTTCTCAAAAAATTGTAATTCGCTTTTTTTGCTTACAGGAAATCGTACTATATTGGCTGATACACCCTGATACGACTACAATATAGTCCTAAAGATACGATACAAATGATTTTGTAGTGTTTCCCATGCTGACCCCTTAAAGATACGATACATATCGATCGATATGGGCCGATATGTTGCAAAATTTTGAACCTTGGTGGTGAATCTGATGACTCTGAAGCTAAAACGAACGATAGTTGCCTACGTTTGTGTCAAAGTGGATCCTCTCAAAGAAAGCATGGCCTTTGGCAAAAGATTGCATATGAAAATCTTCTAAAACATTGCACATATTGCTCAAGTGAGGTCATGAAGCAAGCCAATGTGGGAAAGAATTTAAAGAAGATTTTGACACGAGAACGGGAGAGAACATTGACATTAAGGGGGCGTTCTTTTTCTGGATTTGGAGAGGGGGGAAAAGTTGGTCAATGGGATTTTGATTCCCATTGACCGAGAATCCCATGTTCTTTTTTCAGTTTTATGTGGGGACTAAGGAAAGTTTGTTTTCTTAGGTATCACTTATCTAAGAAAGTGATACCCATTTCCTAGATGGGTAAATAACTTTCCCACATAGGGGGAAGTTGCCAACACTTGAATGGGACAAAAATACCCCTTTTAATAATGGTTTCTATGGCTAAAATGGTAATTGCCTTATTTACATGAGAAATAAAAGAACATGAATAAATGCACTTAGCCGGGTAGGTGCTTCTCAGAAAACGCTTACCTAGGTAATTGCATTTACCCGAATAAATAACTTAACGAAAAGCAAATGGGGCCTAAGAAGAATGAACCTACCACCATGTCACAAGTTCGAATCACATAAAGGGCTACCTAATTAGAGTAAAATGAAAGGTGTCATGGAAAGGGCTACAAGGGCCTTTTGGCGTATTGGTCAAGCACACAATAGAGGATTCCTTCTAAGAAGTCTGAAAAATTAAATTTAAAATCAATCCGAGTGACAATATTGTGGGCCCAAAGGTTAATACAGTTGATGGTACAACGATCTATCGCAACACTACCAACGCTGGTGATGTTTGGTGCGTGGAGGTGCAAAATGAGGGAAAGCAATGTGTTCGACAAAATGTCTCGACCAAGTAGAACACAAGGAACTCAAGGAAGACATTGTTACGATTCAAGCGAAAAAAATTGTTTTGTTAAATGCCTCTAAGACAATTAATAATAGAAGGGAACTTCAAGAAATAGGAGAACACAATAAAAATGGTGTAGTAAGTCTTAATCAAGGAACTTCTGTAAATGAAGTGAGTTTAGAAACCGTTGAGGCCGATATCACATTACATGATGGCTCCTCAGTGAAGAATCAAGAAATGTTAGATGGATTGGCAAGAGTGGAGAAATGGGGGCTAAATCTACAAAGACAACGGTGGGTGTACATTCAAACGTTGTGTCTTTGGTTAAGAATAAAAAAAAAAAAAAAAAATGCAGGGTCGGTCAACCAAGTATACTGGAGCAAGGCAAGAGTTTACACCACCCTTTCTAAAGCATAGACGGTGGATGAAGAATAAAAGGTGGAGGAGGATAAGCTAAATTTGGAGGATTGGAGAAGACTTGGTGTATCTCTATATAAGCGAATTGAAAAATCTCGTCAAAATAAACATGAGAGTGCTTCCAAAGTTGATCAAACACTGAAAACTAGAAATGTGAGATCAAGTCTACAATACATGTACGCCACAAGGGCAATAAACTTGACAAGGAAGCTATATCAATGGAAAAAGATATTCAATCAAGAATTGATGACTGGAAAAAAAGCAAGAACCACAAGTCTAAAGTGAAACAGGAAACAATGCCCAAGAATAATCCGGAACCGGAAGCAATGTGAGGATCATCAAGAATAAACAAAGGTAATTATGCTCGATTCTCTTGGGTCATTGGACATTGGATATAAGTTGGAGTTTTCTCCTATATTCAGTTTCCTAATGAAAAGGAAACAAAATTATTAGGAAAGTGAATTGATTGTCGCCTGTGGCGACTTTAATAACCCATATTTGATTTTTTTTTTTAAATTAAAAAAACTACAAAATTCTAATGGGTTGGGAAACAACACGAGCAGAGAGAATAAAGTCATAAACTGACATGGACAGCTGCTTTTAAGTAAGAATAGATTCGCTCTGCAAGCAAGAGGTTTAGGTTTATTTTTTTCATGATAAGCCCAACCAACACTAAGAAATCTAGGAAACTGATTCGTGCTCCTATTATTTAAGAATGCCAATGGGTAGGTTCAGCGGCCAGCGGTTTTGTAAATTCTAAACCCTACACACTCTCCAGGATTTTCAGAATCCAAACCCTCCCCACATTTGAAGGAGGGGGGGTCAGGTTAGCAGGCTAGATCCAGAACCTAACTTGCACCTAATTTCTTATTATATCTTCTTATATATAAGCAATAAATGAACACAAAAAAAATTCAATTATTTAATTAAAACATGTAAAAAAACAAATAAACTATCAATTGTCTTAAACATAAAATTCAAAATATTATTAATTAAACCCAGCACCTAATGCATAGCTCATATGCCTTTCAACAATATGTGGATTTGGTTTAGCCTAATTTAGTACCCTATCCATACCCTATAGGTTGTAAAATCCCCAAACCTGTCTCTGCCCCAAAATCTGTTTTTCAAGCCCGACAAGGATGGCAGGCGGATAGGGTAGAAATTTCTATCCCTGTCATCCTTGAGGAAATTCACTTTCCTTGTACATGCAAGGAAATGCAGCCTAAGAAACAAGCACTCTCATGACACAGGAAAATGATGGTATCATCACAAGATTTTAGGTATACACATGTGCACTCTCATGATGCCAATGGTATCATCACAAGATTTTTAGGTATACACATGCCAATAGAGGAAATAGTCTGTTCTGTGACATGTAGCTGTCTCATGAAACAAATGGCCGTGGCATACCACCTGAGCTGAAAGTGTCTCTGACCACTTCGACTCCTAGTTCTCAGAAGCCTGTGAAAACAGGTCAAGGAAAAATCGAGTAATCAATCCAGTTAAGATTGAGCTAAGGTAGCATAAAAATTTCATATTTCGTGCATCATATTGACTCTGGCATGCAAGATAACACGAATCTGGTTATATTAGCCTAAAAAATAAGACTTGTCAAAGAGCATTCTAAGTTAATAAATGAATTAGCAGCAGAGCCAGCAGAGGAGTCTGTCCCCTTGGAAAGGAGGAATACGAGAATTGAAGAAATCAAAATAAGATGACAGCACTAGGAAGGGAAATAATTGCTTGCAGAATACATACCAATATAGTATATGGGCTTCAAAGGCCTCACCACTCGACTTCCAGTTTGCTTTATTTAGTAAACATAAGGGTACTTTTTTTGTTTTTTTTTGCATAAAGTGACCACTTTCAGACTAGAACCTACATTCTCACGCTTCCCAGCCCGAGATTTTATCATTTAGATAACTAAAACAAATTATCTTCTCCTCACATGATCAACTACCTTCACCACTGTAATTGGAAGTTCCTGATGAGTTCCATTCTTTGTTTCACAAGATCAAGGAGGAACTTTCAATAGTTCATATTCCACCATGCAATAAGCATTCTAGAGTATTCTCTGGGCCTCTATGTATTCCAAAGTACAAAAGATCTCTTTTTCCTGAACTCGCATGGATGGAAGCTACTCATGGTCTTCCCCATTAGTGCCATAGCAGCAATACTTGGAAATTCCTTCCTTTGGAACTCCTCTGAAGTTATCTTGGTGCTTTTTTCTCCAACCAGGGTAGATTTTGGCTTCACTAATGGTGCCAATGCATAATTTCGACACCATCTTTGAAGCCAAGAATGTGATAGATCCCAATATTCATTCACCAAATCTGGCGAAGAAGATCCTCTGTTACCTGATAACATAATGGCCTTATCTGACTCCTGCCCCTTCCTGTTCACTTCGCCAAATACGGGCTCTAAGATGGTTCTCCCGTAAATCATAATTGGTCCAAGCAACTTACTATCACTGGATGATGCATCTCCCAATTTTGATATCTTGTTACCACGAGCAGGAGAATCTGAAGCACTTAGCTTAAGACGCTTAATCCATCTGTTGTCAGGCTCCTGGACTAGACGGCTGTTTTGGTGGGGAATGAAGGTTGAATCCTCAAGCTGCTTGGTATGGGAAAGAAGGTGATCCACATCCAGACTCTTCGTACTTGATGTGCTCAACTCTCTGTTGGCCATTGTACCTGCTGCAGCTGAAGTTACAGTAGCTTCTTGGTTTATATCAAATAACTCTTTTTGTGCCTCAATGCTTTCAATTTCCTTCGGTGAATCGGTCATTTCCTGAGCTTGGTCCATCATGACGTCCTGCAGAACAGGCAACCGGTAGGTAGTCACGATTTCCAAATTAGTACCACATACTATTCAATGCTCATGAAAGCTAATTATAATATAAATACGTAACTTGGACAAAGGCACATGAGTTGATGGAATGCGTGTGTGCACGAACAAACACACACGTCATGAATCCTGCTTATACAAGATTAGATATGCATGAAGAGTCAGCAGTCAAATTTAGTCCATGAATTCCAACATATATTGCCATGTTTATTATGTTCCACATATTTCTACCAAAAGATGTACTTGTATCTTGTCATGTATAGTTTGGCAAGAACTTTTCATGCCAAGTTTGATTTTCATGACCTATATGTGGATTATATTCACAGACTGGTGCCATCTGTTTGGTGGGCCCCATTTAGGATAGAGTGCATTAATATCAACTCAAACAGCTGAATCCAAATATGTATTTTATTGTATTAATATGAATACTGAGGAAAAGGAAAGTATGGAAGCCATATAATAAGGAAACATGTATGAATACACATTTTTTAGGAAATCAGTTTGGGGCCTTTTTTTTCTTTTCATTTAGGGGACTTGTCCTCCTTAACAAGCTTAGCATCTGATTTAGGACATCTTTCCAGTTTCTGCTTCCTGGACTAGTTTTACTTTTGACAACCATGACCAAAGTTCTAAAAGGCCCCAGAAATGATGATCAGAGGGTTAAAATTTGTCTAATCTTGCTAATTTCTTTTTGACACAGAATGACCATGCCAAGGATTTCCCAATGGGGGGTCTCAATGTAAATGAACATCAGATAGGTTGTCTGTTAAGAAGCCCAATCTTCATATACATGCATTTTCTGTTGTACTTGCATCTGAAAAATTGTTTCATCGGAATAACTACCAATCAGGCTGGAACGAAATTTAACAAAATAGCAGTGAAGGCCAGTAATGTTGTAGGGAGTAAAGTGAAAAACAATAAAGAAAGATGTCCAGGAAATGATATACTTCTTATGCAAAATCTGAGATGGATATGACATGCATGGAAAAACTAGGAAGGATGGGATTAAAAATGTTTGCATATGTGGGATTCTAGGAGTAACTCAGTAGGTGATAAACCAGACAAAGAGATGGTTCAGAACTTGGTCTGCTCAAATCAACCAACTTATATTGTACATATAAAATCCATGTCATAATAGAGTGCACTCATTAAAAGTAAAACAGTGCATCATATGCATGCATAAAGGGAAATTTTGTCCACTCAGGGTATAGAGAAACATGGCTAAGTCAGGCGCTGAAAGTTAAGGATAGAAAAGCCTAAAAAAAGAGAATAAATATAGAAATTCAATGAATAAAGAAAAGTTTTAATGCAGGAGCAGAAAAGTAAAATGACTCAAAACTAAGCCCCATGATCCAAAAGAAATTTAAAAATTTTCAGTGTTTCTGATGCAGACTGGCTAAAGGACTTAAAATTTGAATTACAGCAAGGTCCACCCGTAACAAATAGAAGAGGAAGGACCTAGTAGGTACCTTTGATGGATGCGAAGCTTCACCTGTAAAACATTGAAATAAAATGAAATTAAGCAGGGAAGAAATGCATGCTGATGAGCAGTACTCCACAAGTAAAAGTTGGAAAGATAAAAGACCTGGAAGAGAGCTCCTGGCATGAAAAATATCCATGTCCATGGTATCAGTTTCAGCTGATAATTGATTCTTTAAAACTAGTGAATCAGTCTTGACATCCTGAATGCCATTTCTTTGTTGGAAAATGGAGTTCCCTAAAGAGTGAAGCTTTGCTCCTCCCTTACCATGCAAACCAAAACTAAAAGGTAATGTAAACAATTCATGAAAGGCATTTTGCTTGAATTTGGTGGATACCATTGACTCTCTGATAATTTGGCTTCCCTTAGACAAGTTAACATCAGTCTTTTTGGTGATCAACAAATGTTCAGTTGCCTGAGAAAACCTGGAAGGAGCACCAGGCAATCCTTCCACAGAATCAACAGTAGTGCAAACTCTCAGAGTTTCTACATCATGAATAGAACGCCTTGGCCTTCTTTCTAGTGATCTACATCCATAGTTTAACTCTTCCAACTTCATTTTTCCGGGAGATCTGCCGTAGCTTGTTAAAAATTCAGAACAAGGAAAATTATGTTTCTTACTTTGTTGTCCAATAAAAATTGGGGGAGTGAAACCACTAGTTGAAGGATCATGCATCTGCAATGCTCCATTCCTCGGCACCATATAATGATTTCCACAATTTCTATCATTTAGATGGTTATCCATCTCCTTATTATCACAGGCCAAAAGCTTAGAAGTGGAAGAGCTGCCATAGTTAGGGTTTTCATGTCTATCATGACAAAATTTAGCATTTTCGAGGTGTTTTTTGGATGACAACCCAGGGATTGACCAATCAGTTTCTTTTGTTGTGCACCTTAAGGACTGTTCTGGTGTTCCACCAGACTTAAAACCATAAGGCATAACATTGCATCTTGACTCCATAAGATCATCCTTAAACAGCCTTGAAGCAGGCAAACTTTTCTTTTCAAGACACTTACGAGAATTCACCAGATGCCCAGAAATTTGAGGTGTATTTTCAGTAGGCTGACATGTGCCCTTCATGGCAGCAACCTGCCCTGTGTTTCCATCAAATTGAGACCTGGATATGTGTCTGCCATAGACAATTGGATCATTCTTTGAATCCAAACTACTCTCTTTCGTTTGGTTGAAATTGAAGATTGGAAAGGATTTGCATCCTGATATTGCATTTTTACAATTTCTTAAGTTCATCTTTGGTGTCTTGTTCCTTGGTACAGCTCTTTCAGCTTCATTTACTGCTTCAACTCCTTTTCCATATTCAAGAACATCAAATTCCACCTCTAAGTTTTGTCTGTGTCTCCATTCACTTAAGTGCTCCAAAATATTGCGTGGACCCTCATCTACAACTGACCTTGTGACCTTGTTAGGCTCATAAGTTTGAACATGAATGGGGCCCTGCCTACTGTCACAACGTTCTTCTTTGCTACCACCATTAGGAGAGATATGATTAGAAATCTCTACTGCTGAGTCACAATTTGTTTGCATCCAATGGGCCATCCAGATGGATTGGTAAGGATGCATTGATTTTGTAACTCTTGCATCACTATCATGAATTGTCTGTACAACATGGTCTGACATGATGAATTGGAATATCTAAAATAGTTCCAAGTTTAAACAATCCCCTGTAATGTCAGTAGTTACTTCAAACAATGCAGCTGAGCAGGCAGTGATCGAAATCCAGGCTTCAAAAAACAATGCCACTATATTAGATTATATGCAGGGAGCAGAAAAAAAATTCTGTTTACTAACTCGAAGTTCTTAAATATGCATTTTGGATTATAATAAAAAATAATAAGTAAATAGGAAAACTATTTGGCTCCAGCAACCCTTTACTTCCTTTTGTATTGATGAAAGGGAAATGATAGCACCTTATATTTCTCCAAGGATGGAATATGTGTCTGAAGTTCATATAAAAAGCCCATAGTTAACTAAATTACTAGTTGCCACTCTGTAATGGAAATTCGTTTTTTTCCAAACCAATTTCAAGCTGGTTCATAATAGTTATTGGGAGAGGTTTAGTGTAGTAAATAGGCCACTATAAAGAAGAAGAATTCCAATTAAAATTAACTAATTAGAAAGTATAAAAATGCTCTTTCAAATAAACAAAAATAACATGAAAACCGAATAAATAGGAAAGTAAAAAAGGAACTCCCTTGATAATGTAAAACATGTATACCAAGAAATTATCTATATTACCTAACTAGAATAGGAAATTGTAATAAACTAAAACAAAAGTTCGCTCATAGTGAATCTGGTTAATTATAGAGTTGTGAAATGCAAACCTCAGACCTGAATACAAACCAGCAAACTAGATAATGATAGTAAAGCCTTCATCTATTCTTCTTCAGGGGTAGTTTAGAGAATACATGAACATCAACAATGTCTAGTACCAGGACCAGAGTTTTGAGGAACAAAATAAATAAACAGGGCATTAAAGAGTGAATACCAGCAGGAAAAAAACAGATGTTCTTGGACATGTATTTTCTCCTAAAGTTGCAAACGGTATTTAATTGGCTGAATTGAATTCGGATCCAATCTGATTAAGGCAACCCAAATTCAATTTGTTTGTAATTGGATTGAATATGGATTTACCTCAATCTCATCCAATGATTTTTGAACATTTAAATTTATGCTTGTGTTATTAGTAATGTTGGTTTTATTTTTGTATGTTTAAACGAATCATGTGTTCAAGCCTCAGAAAAGTTATATTCAAGTTATTTTGTTCACGATATACAAAATCATAGTCATTTTTAGTTTAAATTATTTATGTCATATAATATTCTTATAATTTAATATTAATTTATTAATGGTATTCAACATCCAAATCTGATCTAATTCCTATGGGTAAGATCAAATTCAAATTAGAAAATTAATCAATCAAATTTAGATCTACGCATATACAATTCGATCCAATCCATTTGCGGCCCAGTTTTCTCATAAAAAAGTGAGACTTTTTCATTTTGACTCAGAAAAGAACCCAGTTTCTGAAATCAAGAAAAAAAATCACTTGTGGAAATAAAAACCAGTTTTCATTTACACAAGGCTGATGTAGGCTACCATTCAGTGTGTTGCACAAGACACCAAAATCTCCTATAGACCCTCCTACAAGTGCTGCCATGAAAGCTCCTATTCATCATACCAACCCGCATATAAATAGACCTCGGTATAACGAATAAATAGATAAATTGAAAAAAAAAAAAAGCCTCTGCTGCCGGAACCTCTACCTGAATATTTGTATGACTTAAGAAACATAATAAAATTTCAAGAATGAATTTCTAGTTTTATCTTTGGAAGAAGGGAATACACCAGACAACCAAAAACATGTTTTATACATTTTATTTTTAAGAAAATAATGGTTTTCAAATTACTTGCGGTATACAGTTTTGTTGAAATAACAAAGAAAACAAAACAACTCATGTCGGAGAATAATGGGTAACTGAAAATCTCCTGTTTCTTTCTTTTCTGGACAGAACAATAGGTAAATGGTATTTTCACATAAGAGCTAAAATTCAATGAATGAATTCAAAATTGGAAGAGCAAGGGATTTCTAATATGTGAATACACAATTGTATCATTTATTTTGAATCTAGAAAAAAATAGAATAAACAAATCAACAAACTCTTAACATCCGTCAAACCCAAACAGTAAGTGGCAGGAGTTATCCTTGACAGTAGAAACGAGAAAGCCCATGTATTATAACTTAGAAAGGACCGAACTTCAGCTCTGAAAGCGACCTTTCTAAACAAAACCAAACAGAGAAGAAATCGGACGGAATATTCAACCGTGGATACGTTAAGCCGGACTAAATGGTCTTTTATGTGTGTGAGAGTGAGAGAGGGGGAGGCCTGAAATATCTGTTCAGCTGACCTCCATCATTGAAATCAACAAGATGCAGAGTTTGAGAACTCCAGAGATACAGTGAGAGAGAGAGAGAGAGAAGAGACCTGAAATATCTGTTGCAGATAAGATAGCCAGAGCAGAGTAGTGGAAGACGAATTTTCTGCCGCTGCCACTGGTTATATTTGGAAGACTTACGGGTGAATGGGGAATCGTTTGGGAGCGGATGAGATCAGCGGCAAGCAAAAGCGACCGACGGAGGGAGGCCACCTATATGCTGTGAGCATCGAGTATGGAGCGTTGGAGTTGGTTATTTTTTTTTAGTTTATAAAGCCGACGACTTGCCTTCTGCCACGTAACAGGATGATGTTGCTACGCGGCCCATGCCAAGTTTGCAACAACAACAAGGACGACCATCAAAGAATTATTTATGGATTGAATGGTGGTGATCCTCCTGGGAGCTGGGGTCCATCCAACCATCGAAGGGTCTATGAGCAAGCACGTTGGAGAAAGAGGAGATAACATGTGTTTGAAGACTCGAGGAGTGGGAGGGAGTGGTAGCGACACCTCCTCGATGATTGATGTTGATGAAGACATGGACATCAACGTGGGAGAAAGGACAACACACGCCAGCCGCCAGCCCTCCTTCTGTTCGTCGAATGTCAGACCTCCAGTCTTGTCTTGCTGTCCTCAAAGGCCTGCCCACGTGGATGGTGTTGAATTTCTTTAGCATTTTCCTTTTATTTGTTTGTTGTATGGTACAATGCTCATATTTTTGTTCTTCCACTTTTTCGGTCTACGAATGGAATGGAATTTAAGGAGACAATGTTGCGGGAGCATGTCCTATATGGTTTTCTCCCAATGGTAAGACTTTTTGATAACATATAATCAAAATATATTGCCCCGCAGTGGATTTATTAATCATATGTTTTGGACATAGTATTCTCCCCGCATAAGGATTTATCAATTTCTCCCTCTCCTGGACTCCCGGTTTCCTGTTTTCTCTTTTGTGAGGGTAGAAACAATCGACTCCAGCTCTGGTTTTTATGGTTTTATATGCTTCTCACATCAGCAGTGTAGTTAACTTCTTGACTGTTTTTTTAAGCTTTACAAACAGCTAATTAAGGTGAATGATTGATTGGATTGATATTACGTTTTTTTTAAATGCCTTGTTATCATTTTCGCTTTAAAATCTGGTAGGTAAGGGTGTCAATGCATCCATTTCAGATTGGACCCCAATAAAATATAATAAATTAGACAAGTTCAGACTTAATGATCAAAGTATTTATTGGATTGGATCGGACTTGATCTATCCAATCAATTTATATTGAATTGGGTTGGATTGAACCAATATCTGATTCATTTGATAGAAGTAACGATCAAAATTTTGTCATGTATCGACTCGTATTGGTCTATATATATATCGTATCGAAGCCTTTTCGATATGCCCTTACAAGAGGTGTTTTGGGTCGACGAGTGGTTCAAAGGGTAGACCGGCTTTAAATCCGCCCCTCTAAATTAGTTTTGAAAAAAAAAAAAAACATAAAAAAATAGTATCGATACAGGCCGATACACCCTACCAGGTGGGCGTATCACACTATACCGATATTTTGAACCTTGGATAGAAGATAAGAATATAAATGTGAATGGACTAGGTTTGAGTTAGAATTAATCTAAATTAAAACAAATTTGAACAAATTAAAGGGTCCAAACATTGGATTTGGTTGGTCCAAAATATACACTGATTTGAATTGGACCTAGTCCTTTTATAATGGACTCACATTGGACTAGATCGCGGATTGAACCAAATCCAGTCCAATTGACACCCCTAGTGGTAGGGGACGCAACTTCATGAAAATCTGTTTTTGTTTTTCATATTCCTAAACAACTAAAAATGTCCCAACCCACAAATTAGTTCAACATGGCAAACGTCGTACTTCTACTTTTTGGTTTGATCATCCTCTGCCTGGGTAGAGAACTGTTTGTACATATTCTTTGATATGAAAAAGATATGATATCCGAACCAATAAATCAGAATCATAAACGTAAACGTGATAACAAAGATAGCATTATTTATCAAAATCCATGAATGGAATTTAATTGGTAAAATGCTCTTTCCATTCATAGTAGATTTTTTCTTTCTTCCATGGTCAATTTATTGACAAATTAAGTAAAACCAAAGATGGTATATATCAAGAAGCCTTAAAAGAATTAATACAAAGATATATCATTAATTCTTGGGAAAGAAACAAAAGCAAAATACAACAGTAGAGGTAAGATGTAATTCATCCAACTATCTTGAAATCAAATTTATATATTGCCAAAATAAGTCACGCAGTTACATGTGGAGGCCTCAGAGAGTGGTTTCATCCTTTCATAGGTCTTGGAGGGTAATTATGGGATTTTTGCCTTTCACCTTAATGGCGAGCCTTGAGCCATATATATGGTCCATTTTCTTAAGTCTTAATGGAACCGGCAACGTGCAGAACCATTACAAAGTCCCCTTAATGCTACATTTAATCGGATCTCATCTATAGAATGGAAAAACAACAATTGTCTCTCTTACGCATTCTATTTGTTTTCATCTCAGTACCTCAACTCTTATACACCTCCGTTGATTTAACCATCAGAATCACCGCTCATAGGTCTGCACCTTGGGAGTTGGGACCTGGTACTCGACCAAATTCACTTGCAAGTTTCTGATTTACCCTAATTGCCAACTTTTATGACATTTAACTTTGATGTTTCGTTGACATTTAGAGTTATAACAAATAAATCACCCAAATTCACGTGCTTCATCATTCAGCAATTAAGCAGGCCCCAAGCTGCTGAAATATTGAATGGAACATTTTAAATTGAGATCTTTTACCAGTATTTGGCTAATTTAGATCAGCATACTGCCATGGAGAATATATCATTATAGACACATACATGTATGGAACCTCATGATTGCTAACATCCGGATTAGAGGAAAGCCATAAATTCAAACAAGTAGCAGACCTTGTTGCAAACTAATGCCAACAAGCAATAGGGGCCAGGGGGTGTTGTGGTCAACAAGGCAACAAGGACAATTGTATGAGTCTAAGCATATATATTTATCGTTAAAGACTTATGAGACAAAGTAAACCTATTTTATTTTCTATAACACCCCTCCTATTCTCAAAATAATAAAAAGAATACATATCATATTTGAATTTTTTAAGGCTTGGTTTGTTTGCAATATAATTTCTTTTGTAGTAGTGCACAAAAATGGAATTGCAAATAAGTTCATAAATTCTAAGTTAATTTTCAACTTTTATCTTGTTGCTTTATTATTTGTTTGTAGTGGAGATGAAAAGTAAGGGTCCTTTCCCTACTTTTTCCTTCAAACCAAACACACTTAAAAGAGTCCCACACTATCAGTTGGTATAAAAGAGTCCCACATATAAATACAGCTTAAATATATTGGTTAAGGCTTTATTTTTCTCCTACGTACCATGGTCAACCATGGTCACATGCTTTCTTCCCAATACCTCTTGATTTTTCACATCCAAATCCTAAATTTTAAAGCATAAACACCCTTACCTCTGACCCTAAACCCTATGTTTGGTTTGAAGGAAAATGTAGGAAAAGGAAGGGAAAGACAAGAAAATTAATACAAGGTTTGTAAAGGTTTTCCTACTTTTCCCTTCCTTTTCGTACATTTTCCTTCAAACCAAACATAACATAAAATTAAGGGTAAATTTCTTAAACTACCCTTATGGTTTAGCTAATTGACTAAGTGTATCCTTACTGTTTGAAATTTAACTGACACTACCCCCTACTGTTTCTAACAATTAACTAACTCTACCCTTACCATTAACATCTGTTAATATTTCGTCAAAACCCAAATACACATAAGACCATGTGACATTTAAAATTCTTTTAAAACCCAATATTACCCCTCCCTCATTCCCTTCCTCTGACCGGCAACACCTTCCTCACATCGGAGGAGCAAATCTGGATTTTGATGGCTGATGGTGAGAATGATCGAGTTCCTAGTAATATTTGTTTTGGCCCATTTCCATTTTCTCTCTCTCTCTCTAAGTCTTTAATCTTTCGATAGCCTCCTCCCTCCTCTCATTTTTCTCATTTTTTTTTCATTTACAGTCGCCGCTGCAACTCCAACAGTGGCAATGTTCTCACTGGCAACATGAGGATAGGTCTGACTCGGATACAAGAAAGACATTAGATACAAGAGACAAATATTTCATTTGCTTTCCAACACTTTTTTGGCACTGAATCCATACCTTGTTGGGAGAAAATTTCTACAAGGGGAGGGGGAACAGGGGCAAGACGAGTCATCTTCAACAGAGAGCAAGCGAGTGTCGAAGACGAGTCATCTTTGGACAAAGGGAAAACGAGCCATCTCTCTCTCTTATCTCTCTTTCTCTCTCCCCTCCTCTTTCACTATGTTCTGCCACCGCCACTGCACGTTGCAGCGGCGGATTCGGTACTTCTCCTTCCACCACTCCGCTCTCTTTCTCTCTCCCCTCCTCGTTCACTTCATTCTCCCACCGCCGCTGCAAGTTGCAACGGTGGATTTGGTACTTCTCCTTCCACCGCTTCCAACACCACTGCTCCACGTCATTTTCAGACATTATCTCTCTCTCTCTCCCCTCCTCTTTCACTTCCTCCATTCTGCCACCCTTCGTTGGCTATCATCACATTCTCTAGATCCTCAATCACCAACTGATAAAATACTCAAACTCGCCGAAGTCGTAGATGCCCATGTAAGAGTTATCGGAGATTCTTGGTGGAAGCAACAGAAGAGGAATCCGGTTCGTGGAAACCCACACACCCGATGGTATTCATTCTCCACTCAGGTTCAGATTGATTCTCCATGGTTCAGACTGACTTCTCCTAGACAAAAACGTCGTCGCACCGCCGGGAGTTGCAACGGTAACCCACACAACCAAGGTGTTTGTTCTCCACTCAGGTTCAGACAAAAACATTATGTGGCTCTCATCGGAAGGAGTGAGAGAGAGGTCAAATGTTTTAAGTAAAAACTTAAAATGAGGGATAGATCGGTCGAGTGTTTGAGTTTAAGGGTAAAATGGATATTTTATATTTTCTCGTCTATATTAAACAATTGTCAGAAACAGTATAGATAGTGTTAGTCAATTTTCAAATAAAAATACACTTAATCAATTAAGGATATCTTAAGAAATTTACCCTGATCGGAGGGGGGGGACATATACCAGCCAAGTATTGGCGTATTGCGCGTCTATATTAAACAACTGTCAGAAACAGTACGAATAGTGTTATTCAATTTTCAA